CTACGCCGCCATGACTCATATTCAACTCCTTCCGTCACTTCATCATCGATACACCCAAGGCTATCTCTCCTGCTCAGACTTCGCCACCATTTACAACAAGCTTCGTGATCTTGACTTTGTTCTTGACTACTCCCTCCACAACAATCTCCTCTACATCGATACCAAAGGCACTCGCCGACTTTGCATCCCTGACGCACGGGGCCTCCATACTCGGCTCTTGGCCGAGCACCACGACGCCAAGACCGCAGGACATCTCGGTTTCCAGAAAACCTTCGACACCATCTCCCGCTACTTCTACTGTCCTTCCCTACTCACTGACGTCAAGGCATATATTCGCTCGTGCCCCACGTGTCAAGTCGTCAACCCCTCGAACCGGGCCAAACCAGCCAAGCTCCAATCATTGCCCATCCCAACTCACCGGTAGCAGTCCATCTCCATGGACTTCGTGTGCGGCCTTCCCAAAACCGACCGCGGGCATGATTGCATCTACGTCATTGTCTGCCGCTTGACCAAACGTGCCCACTTCGTCCCTTGCATGACCTCACACAGTCGCCACACTCTTCTTCGACCATGTTGCTCGCCATCATGGATTCCCCGAGAACATCATCAGTGATCAGGATCCTCGCTTCCTCTCACAATTCTGGAAACACCTCTTCACGGCCTACGGAACCACGCCCAAGTATAGCACTGCATTCCACCCACAGACCGATGGACAAACAGAGAAGATGAACGATACACTCCAAAGAATCCTGCGGAAGTATTGTCATCCACACCAACACGATTGGGATCAGTTGCTCACAGCCGCCGAGATTGCCTACAACAGCGTTGTCTGCCCCTCCACTGGCATGTCCCCTTTCTACCTCGACCTTGGCTACCATCCCCGCTTGCCCTCTGACTTCTTGCTTCCCTCGCAGCTACGCCCCTCCACCCCTTGCCCCTCTCTCAATGAATGGGTAGCAACAATGAACAGACTCCTCAGAGAAGCAACCGAAGCCCTTGAAAGAACACAAGAACAACAAGCCAATAAGATTAACAAACACAGACGTGACGTGTCATTCAAAGTAGGGGACAAAGTCTGTCTTTCTGCCAAACGCTTTGAACCTGAAGAAGGCTTGTCCAAGAAACTCTCGAACAAGTGGCTCGGCCCCTTCCCCATCATTGAACAAACCTCTCCTGTGAATTACAAACTTCAGCTTCCACCTGACATGCATCGCGTCCACCCAGTCTTCCATGTAGAATACCTCAAGGAATACCACGAATCCCCAGCCCAGTTCGCTGACCGCCCTTATCCTAGACCTCCACCAATCATGCTACCCACAGACCCTGAATCCGTTGTCGAAACCATAATCGGTCGACGAACCACTCAGGTATTTGATCATCCGGAACCAATCACTGAATACAAAGTCAAATGGACCGGATACCCCGACGAAGAATCTACATGGGAACCTCTCTCTAATCTTAAGAACGCCATGAAACTTGTCCGCGCCTATGATTGTGCTAATCCTACGTCCTAGATACCTATATCACTATGGCATAAACCCCGCTAAACCCTTGCAACCCTGCTCTTCACACACCCTTGAACCCAGTCCACCCTTCCCTTGACCCTCATACCTGATGTATGATCTGCCCTTGCCCTCGCCTAGCCTTGTCCCATTTGTCCTCGCCACCACCTTGTTTTTCTTGTCCAATGCTTGTGAACTTGCGTGACGCYGGCGATAAAGGATCTAATGGCAAGCGCACGAGGACGATGGCATGCTGCCTCACTGTTCATGGAGATTATGCAGCTGGTTTGGCCACCATGCTGTTTCATTGGCCGGCATCCCGACTCACGGACTTACTGGAGCAGCAACTCGTGACATGGATCTTTGCATCAGTCTGCGACTTCCTTGCTTCCAGATCAGACCTCATTGCAGTTCGTGTACCGGACGCACCCTAGCACTTGGACTTGCATTCAACTAAGTTTATTATTGGGCTAACACCCTTGCATTCAACTAGATGGTCGATGCTGTTAATCTAAACCTCAATCATCTGATTTTCAAGATGTTGTTAGCTATCTATAAGCTGATTACCAAGCTAATACCCTTGCATTCAGCTAGCCAACATTCTCTGGTAATCTGAGCTACAACCTGTAGATTTTCAGAAGTTGATTGGTTGCCTGAAGTTGATTACCTGGCTAATACCCTCACATTCAACTAATCAATCTAATATGATAACCTCACCATAACCCTATGAGATTCTGAGGTGTTTGTGTTCTCCACCACTAGCGATCTTCTAGCTAATACCTCTCCGCCAATATGGCTGGTAGTTGGTTATGTAGCTTGTGGGTCCTCGCTCCCCGGGAGGGTAAGAATGCAATAAATCGCAGTTTCCCAGTGGGGCTGTACACTAAGTGTTTGGCTTTGTAGTTTGTTTTCTTGTTTTGAGCCTTGCGGGACTTTATCATGTGACCTGTACTTTGTCTGTGTTTTGTTTGTGAGTGTTGAGCCCTATGGGACTTGATCCCTGAGTCTGTCACTAGTAGTCTCTGTTTGGTAGCCTTAGGCCATTCCACCTTTTCCTTTTGCAGACGAGTATTGGGTTTTTGCATTTGGAGTCCGTCATAGGTCTAGGCAGAGGGTAGAAGTAGCGGACAGGGAATTTGGGTTTTTTTTTCACGTTTTCTGTTGGTTGGGGAAACTCTGCCCGTCCGTTGCTGGAGCACTGCTGCTCTATTTTGGGCGAGGTCATCTTCCAGCCATAGCAGGGGTTGGGAAACGAAGTTGAAGATCGCACTGCTGCTATTTCGCAGCTCTGCATGAGAGCTTCCACAGGACTGTGTTGTTGGGTTTGGGTTCTGCCATCTTCCACTTGGCAACCAGATCCGTTGTTCCTCCTCTCGAGGAACTTTGTCTTCTTTGAAGTGCTGGATTGTTTGTCTCCTTCTTCATCAGGACTTCCAGCGAT